CCCCCCTGCCTCTGCTTGGAATACTGGTGGAAGTGGGAGAGATGGTGAACCCTTTGCCCAGGGGGTGACACACACACACACGAAGCTGAACCAATGTGTGTGTGTGTGAGCCATGAAGCTGAACCAATGTCCAATCAACCACTAAAGCATATTTAAAGCATATTTAAAGCACATTATAGCTCTTGCACATTATAGCTCTTTGAAGGGATTTGCTTTATATAACATGTCTATCTTCCAAATTCAATCGCTCCGTCGATGTTTTGAGCCCTCCCTGCCTCCAGATAGCGCTGTTCGGTCCGTTCGGCCTCTGCCGATCCACGTCGTTCCGGTCGAGTTCGACGGGTCGCTTCGGGTGGAGGTGGGCAACCAACGGGCAGGTTTGGAACGATGTGGAGCTCCCAAGAGCTGTGGACATCCGTGTTCCCGACCCCCAAAAACATGTTCCACCTGACTAGGTGATCTATCTGACTAGGTGGTAGCTTGTTGCACTGGTTCCAAGCCCCACCCCACCCAGCCCTGTGGCGCCTCATGTAGCGCTCGTTGCGCCTCATCCAGGGCTGCAGCGTCTTCTCCTGGGGAGGTTGCTTGACACTTCACCCGTCGTTTTGAACATGTGCTCACCAACCATAAACCCATGCTAAGCGCTGCTAACCGATAGCTAGACTCATCTGGTTCTCAAAACATCACACGCACCCCCAACGGACGGCGTCCTAGACCCCGAATTTGGCTCAGGAGCAGTTGATGTAGCTGCGGAGTGCGAGACCACAAATTTCTCTGGACCCACACCGCCCAATTTTGAACATATTGGAACTACCACTTGCTCACCTTCTTTCAAGTTCCGTAGCTTAGCTATGCTTAGATCACTGTTTACACATTTCTCTAAGCGACTCTGGTGATCACTCCTCACCAAACCCACTTTGTGCTCTCAGAATGCTCCGCATGTCTTTCTGCTCCAACCCGCGCACCTCGGGCGCGTCGGAGCTCTGCCAGCTCCTGGCTTGGTAGGGCCTATGGGGTAGGGCTTGAGGTGATGGACCCCGGATGGTGATGCGCTCATGGTCCATCGACATCATTTCCGCTCGTGAAATCATAATTAGAAGTTCATGGAGCCCCCAAGGACCGGTTGCTGAGCCGGACGAGGACATCTTCCCAACACTGCGGCGAAAGCTTTAGCAAAGGGCAATCCAAAAGCATCTCCAAAAGCCGATTTTGAGCACGTGACACGTTCATTCTAGGCAGTGTATATATATAAATGGTTGCGCAGCTGCACATCCTTCCATTTCTGGAAATCTGTAATGAAACGACAAGACCATAGAGACCTTCCCGGAAATAGCAATTGCGCTGGTGAAGCTCCCTGGTTTCTTGCTCATGGATCTCCTAATTAGATTACACATGTCTTGAGATTCTTTAAACCAAAAATTCGGTCACTTGCAACAAGCCTCCTAGACGTATCCTTCCCCTTCTACGACTAATTCATGGCCGTAGTGACCTATACAACTCTTTCTTCCATGAACCAAAGTGCCCGGCTCCTGCTGCAACCTTTGCACCTCCGCTGTAGAAGAAGCATCTGGTGCGCGTGGCGGCACCTGCAAACCCAGTCTTTTGTGCATGCTCATTTTCCTGCAGCAAACATCTACGAGAAACGACGCACAGCGAATCTCATGGGTTTGCCACTCGTTGCCGCGATCATCGAGTCGGATCATCAAGTCCAACTCGTGGCTTTGGGAGGTGATTCTGCCAATCTGCCTTCACCACGCCATCGGGCTGATGAGCTTCGAAGGCTTATGGATGCTTCACCAAACTCATAGGAACACCTGACGAAATCGAAGTTAGATGATCCTACGTAGACCCCGAGTAACAGGCCCTTTTTCAACACCTCTCCCTCTCCAATTCCTTTTCTTTTGGCCCATCTCTTACGGTCGAATTGGAACGCTGGGCCTTCAGGTCCCGGAAGCATCCCGAAGACCAAGTGGGTGGTCGGAGCTCCAAGCACTTATGTGTATAATATACGTGGGTGGTCGGAGGTCCAAGCACCTATGTATAATATATATATATACTGTGAAGAAAATTAATGAAACATATCAGCCATGGGTGTCAATGGGTGTGGGTCAAACGTCTGTATCCAGCCAGAGTCTGGCCCCTCCAAACCGTCGTCTCGCAACTCGTTCGCCCGAAGATCACCACACCTCGCAGTCTGAAGATCACCACACGATGTCACACGCCACGAGAAATTGGCATCATTGGACATAAAGCCTCTCTACTCAGCTTTTGTGAGGAGAAACGTTCACAAGATGCTGCAAACAACCCCCGGAAAACCCGCAACCATTGGTTTTGGAAGTTTTTGGTCTTATTGAACACATCCATGTTGAGGTGCAGTAGAATAAATATAATTACAGTAACTCTTCCGCTCTTCCCAACGCCTGCGCGGGTGTACCCTGCAGCTGCTGCTCCAGGGCATTCAAACGCTCTTCCTGGCATCAGGCCATTGAGGGAACCCGCGCTGTCAACTATTGCAGTTGTGCGATGAAAGGGCCAGAATGTGTGGGGATCTACCCTCCCTCAAACAATCAGAAGCTGAGTAACCCCCTACAAGTAGAGGACAAAGGTCTTCCAGGGGCCGAAGACCTTGCCACTTCCATCACATCCATCACTTGATTCCAAGGAGTGTCCAGATTGTCCAGCATCCATCGCTTGCCTTCCCATATCAACTGCTGCAGTTGTGTGGATTCATAGTATGCTTCTGTAGCTGCTGTAATTCTACTGTAGCTTCTGGTGGCAACGCTCTCCGCGCAAAGCTTACGGAAGAGGTGAGTTGAAGGACTGTTGCCCGTTGTAGGTCGCGTTGTCGGAAGAAAACCAGGGCATCCTTTTGGGTCCCCTTGAAGGTTGTACTTTACAACAAAAAGAGAAACACCTTCCAGCTGCAGTCCTGCTCAACTAAGCGGACACCTGAACGAACATATCAATATCTCCTGCCACCTCGCATGAGGGCGCGAACCAATATCATGTTCGATAATCTTCGTAGCCACGTCGAACAGGTCCCCACCCGCGCATCATCCCGCCAGCAGCCCCGCTCGCTTTTGGCAAGTTGAACAGCAATCGTTATCAGATGTTGCCTACATGGCTTTTGAAGCTCAAAAAAAACATATATATATATATTTATATCATTATATATTATAATCACACACATATTTTATCTGTATATATATATATATATCATAGACACGCACATATCTTCTGCACAAGAGGATCCCGGTCATCTGATGCCTTCGTGTTCAAGGCTTGACGAAGCTCGTCCACCAAGCCTGGCGCCACGAGCGCCGCGTCGCGCCACTCGCAACTCGGTCGAGCGCAGCGCCCTCGGCGGGAAGGCCCACGAGATCGATGTATGGAATCCGCCGACCTTCTGCAGAGGTGAGGCGTGACTTGTGGTGGGTTGTGGTCTAAAGATCTCGATTCAAGACCTTGTCTGGTGCTTAGAATGATCATATCTGTGATGAATGGTGATGACCTCGACGGTCAACCACCTCGATATGAAATACGAGAGTGGGAGTGTTTGGGGTGTATCTAAGGGGTGAGCGGTGGATGAACAAAAGAGTTGTTCTCCGATTTCTCCAGGCCTGGGACGTCTCCAGGCCTTGGATTTGGTTGGGCTGCTGAAAGAGTCTGACATGACCTGCTTGATCTGTGGTCGACCTCTTGAAGCACCAGTGCCAAGGGTTAGGAGGGGCGTGGAACTCGTCGGCTCCAGTGCCAAGCCAGTTGCTCAGTGAAGACTGCAGCAGCTTCTGGTCAATTGGGGATGCACCGCACTCACGTACATTGTTTGCATGCTCATGTCCATCATTGTCTGACCCTCTCAAATGTCGGGTCATAGCCCGAAGTGCCACATGATGAGTATAGAATAGTATAGACATGTATAGACTATAGAAATCACATGTCAAGTCATCATCCAAGTAGCCATGGGCAAAGAACTTCTCAAGGGTCTATCATGTAAGGGTCTATCATGTAAAACACTATAACTGGAGATCTCTTGAAATCACTCAAGGTCACAGGCTCACAGTCCCTGTTAAGTCGAGGCCTTGTATCATCCCCTTGAAAATCAACATTTAACATCCAACGGCCTCCAACCTTGCCCAAACCTCATCTATTTCCCGGAGTTCCGCAGGCACCTGCACGTGGCACCTCCTCACACAGAAAGGACGGAAGAGAAGTCAAGAAAAGACCTGGACTAGTAGCTTCTTGTTACTAGTAGTAATGCCTGGAGCTACTAGTAGCGATGCCCTTGCTACAACACCGTGTCCGGCAACTTTGATCAAGCTGACATACTTGCATCACATCTAAATCAAACAACAGCTCCACATGATCCAAAAATCCAACATTCTGGCGCCCATCTGTGGCCAACATCAGCTCAGGTGCCATGTCCGGGTATATAACACTGAAACACCTAAGAAGAGACAAACAACACAAAACGCATCGAAACAAAACGCACACCGTCCAACTTTCCAACTCATTAGTAACACCAAAATGGGTCAAAACCTGGAGCCCTGGTCCACCATGTAGCGAACAACCTTCCAGGCAGGACAACCAAGCTATCCTGGTGCCAGGACCCACAGCCAAATGAGCAAATACAACTTTTTTAGGAGGTGGTGGTGGTGGTAACATGTTTGGGGGCTTACGCAGAACCCTACGGTTGGCCATACCATGCCATCAGTTCTGCCGGTCGTTGCCCCAGTTCTTCTCATCCAGGGTCCTGCTGCCTCGCCTCAAGCTCCTGGACCTCGTGTTCGCTCCGCCGCTGGACGGACGCTCGACACGCTCGATGCTCGACACGCTCGACCGCCCACCGCGGAGGTTTCTCCGCTCCGTTTTCTCGATGCTTTTGGGACTGAACAACCTGAGCTGCGGATGGAGGGTGCAACTAAACCATGTGCAATCCAAGACACATGTCGACAGCTCACATGTGCAAGTCTTGGATGCATTCGGAGGGTCTGACTTTATGACCTGGTGCATGGATCTGTGATGATTCGTGGCAAGTCGAAAGCACAGGCGGACGTACATAGAGTTTGAGGTGAAAAATTGAGCCACTCTTGGACACGGGGTTGGTTTGGTTAGTTTGGTAGTTGTAGAACTCCGCCTGAGCAATTGGTGGAACAATTCCGAGCCAAATATTCCAAAGTCTCCATGTCAGGCAGTGTTCGTGGTTAACTTCGTGGGCCGAACTGGTAGATGAGGCTGCCAACGACCTTCAGTTCGAGTCAAACCAAAAAGACTTGACTCGAACGGCGATCCGCTGGCCCTCCCACTTCACGCCGCCAAGTCACCCTCCGTCGCAGTTTCTCCATCTCTCCTTTCCGTTCAGGTCGCCTGCGACAGGGAGAGCCCATCCCACCCAAATGACCCGTCACCACGCGGAGAGCCCAGCCTCTGGGAGAAACGCATCGGAAAGCAACAATCACGGTGGAGGGCCGGTGGTTGCTGGCACACATGGGACCACAAAAGGCTTTCTTAGAGTGTTGAACGTCCAGGTGTCCTATCAATCACTGCCACTGCCAAACACAAAAGTTGTCCCACGATGAAACAGCTAAACCATGCTAAACCAACGATTCCTTCACCCAAAGACCTCACCCCACCCCCGTCCCAAAAAATGACTTGAAACCTCGAGAACTCCAAGCTTGACTCCGCAGCCCCCTCGGACGACCAATACATGGCGCCTTTCGAGCTCGACTCTTAAACGCTGGAGGTCCCCCTTCTGCTGGTGAATCACCCGCCTGGCGAACCAACCCTCGGGAAAACTCCGGAAGATCGTCGTCTCTCCGGAGAGGTCGTCCCCGGTGAGGCCCACCCGAACCGGACGGAGACGCCCCGAGCGGTTTGGGAACATCCGACCATCCGGGAGCGTCGGACCGTGGTGAGCACAGCGCAGCGCGACGATGCGACCGCTCTTCATGCGCGCGGTCGTATGCCGTCGTTCGATTGGTCGGGCGCTTCATCTTTTCATTGCACCAATGATTTTGGTGGCCATTGGTGACCAATTCGGTGTTTCTCGATCGTCACCCGGATTCAGTCACAAAGCTATTGGCGGAAAACGTGGTGAGAGGCGGAGGAACAAGAGAACTGCAGCAGGTATCTCTTGGAGGAGGTCGCCGGTTCCAAAGCTAGAAACCCTGATTCCTTGGAGTGGAAACAGGAATCCACTTGGCTATACTAGAACTTCATTCCAAATACTCCAAGGATAACACCAGCTGGCAGCGCCCATCTTTGAAGGATGCCCTCCCCAGACCCGTTTTTTTCACAGTGGGTCCTTCAGCAGCATCCCCAAACAATCGATTGCGCCGTCTTTCCCGACACTATACAGGAACCTGAACCTGTGTGGAAAGCACACCCTATGTCATCAGACAAATATATAAAATATACATATATAATATATACATATATAGATGGATTCAAGTGATCAATGTTTGTTCTTGGTCCATCTGTGGCACTCCTCCAAAATCCATCCCTTTTGGTCCCAGACGCACGTGCTCCACTTCGATGTCGATGTGTCAGTCCCCAACATGCCGTGCTCCACTCGAGGCCCTCGATGACGTTCTCCAGATTTCGCTCCTGGAACATGAGAAAACACGACATCTGATAAAAACATCTGTTTTTCTTGTCCTTCTGGGAAACCTGTCAATAAGGGTCACAACCCTGGTGACCTTCCCCCAAGACAATTGAGTTGGACACATCGTTTGTACAGGCCATATTCTAACTATAACCCCCAAAGAAACACGCATTTCTCATGAAAAAGGATGGATACGCAACCTAGACCTCCATAGAACACTTAAGAACACATGCAGTTGGTATCAATTGGTTCAGTGACCGCACTTCGACCGAGACGGAGACAACGACCATGTCACGGCACATGTCACGTGATGGGAACATCCGAACATTTCGAGCAGCGTGACGTCTCACGCTTCCCGGAATTACGTTTTGTTTTGTTTTTTGGGGTTGTTGGACGCATCCACTGAGTGGCAGGGATGGGTTTAACTGGTTTCACCGGTGAGGTTTAACTGGTTTCACCCCAGTGTCGGTCTGGTGGGTGAGAGCGTCATGTTGCAAACCATGTTGGCAGGAGAAGATGCATACAAATTTGGATGCCGAAAGACTGTGCCTCTAAAGCAAGTGTTTTTTTAAACAAACGATGAAACGACATCCTGATGTCATCCTCTTCCAACCCGGAGAGCTCTCCCTACACATCCACATCCCACGCATTGCACCCTCGTCACCTCGTCAGTCCATCCGAGCCACCGAGTCCTTGCGGCTCTGGAGCTTGGAGGCCATGGCCTTGTCGATCCAATTGGTGTAACGCGGAGACCGTGCTGAAGAGATACAAGAGGCATCCATTGTAGATCCCGAATTGCAACTTCAGTTGAACACGTTTCGATGTATGTTTGGAAAAATAAATATTGGAGCTTCTTGGGTGGTGCCAAGGAAGAACGGTAAGAATCATGAATGTCATCGTGCAGGTGAAGTTTGCTCAGCTGACTGGCCCAGGAACATGAACCTACCACAGACCGCCTGTGGTAAAACTCCTCAAGATGCTTCGAGGTGAACAAACGACACTTTACCCACCACGCTGTTTTCAGCGCCAAGTCACGACCCTCAAGCACAACTCAGACTCCAAACTCTACACAGATTCGCCATGATTTTTTTCAGGGGAGCATGCCTGAACATCTTGTTGTGCGTCCCAGGCCCCAGAACGTGCAATGAACATTCAGCAAATTTAGTCAACAATTCGTTTTGCTGAGGATCTTTAATGTTGACGATTTTGGTTGCAACATGTTGGGTCAACGGGGGGTTTGCCCGGAAAGGCAGCCTTTCCGATGACCCAAGATTGTCTGGTGGGATGCAGATGATCCACTTCGCTGATCGTGATCACGATGACGACGATGATGATGATGATGATGAGCTGATGCGCTACGTGCAGGATGCGGATGGTGCGCTGATGCGCTACGTGCAGGATTGCGCTGATGAGTCACGGGCATGATGCGTAGGATGAGGTGATGCGCTACGGACATGATGCGTGACTGCTTCCGGGGCTGGGGGGTGGGGGTGGGTCCAAGATGATCAACTTTGGTTGCATGATGCGTTGCGGGCATGATGCGGATGATGCGCTGATGCGTTACGGACATGATGCCGAGCTACCCCCTTTGCAATGTATGTTAATGTTAACGGGGAAGTCCAAAAGGTATACTATATGTTGCTTAAAGTTATATGCATTTTGCAATTGTCACTGCTAGCCGCGCCCCCTGACCACTGTATATGATGTTGCAAGTCTCCCTCGATTGCTGGGGTTTCCCCGGCAAAATGACTCCAGACTTTGTCATTGCATCTCGCTATATCTTGCGCTCCGACTCATGCAAGAAGCAAAAGAAGGCAGAAGACAGACTGCTTGCACAGGCTCAGCCGGAAGACTCCAAGCGCATCCTCCTTCTGACACAAGTCCTCCACGGTCTTCAAGGGCTGGAACTGGCCACATCCTGACAATGAAGGATCCGTTCACCCCAAAGCACAATGGATGGTTTCAAGATAAGTCGATATATCTCGGCAGCAATGTGTCAAATTAATTAACTAAATCGGTTTCAAGCGAAACCGCAACCCACACGCAGTGCACCATGTAGAAACTATTCTCAATCACAATGGACGGGCAATCAAGGCATCTGCAAGCCAAGACTCCCCCTTTTCAACGTGGGGAGGCCTTCAGCGACATTGACTGCAGTGGCGCAACCTGGGCTCCATGACGAGTCGGGTGTGCGTCTGTCATAGTCACTGACACTGACACAGAGTCAGACTATTTCCGGACAGGGTTTGGAATCATGGCTCTCACCGTCTTGCGCTTCTTGCGCGCAGCAATTCAGCATGTCATGTCTTGCGGGCACAGCGGCGTTGTGATCGATGCAGAACTTCGCCATCTTGAGTGTGTCTCGAAGTCATATAGGCCTTGAAGTCATCATTCGCAGGTGACAGTGTCTTGCAAGGCAGTGGATGAGATGTCCGAGCACGTGCCAGGCGTCATGCCACTCTCCGTTGGCTGATGGCGCCTTGAGTGGATGCAGGGCAAGGATGCTGGGGTTGGCGCACTCTTTTCATTGGCCTGTCGGAATCACAATGCAACGTGGTCAGAAGCTCCAAAAATCCAGCCATGGATAATGCAACTACATTTGGTCACCGTCTCGCTGCCACTTGCCATCTTGAGCTAGTTATACAGAATGCTAGCGCGCCATGCGTGAAGATGCATCTCAAGGCGGCCTCACGCAGGTCTCGGACCACTTCAAGGGAAGCTTGCTTGTGGGCTAGACGCTGTTCAACCTCGGAAACTTAGCCAGAATGGCCACAGGGGTATCATTTTTTGCATATATGATGTTTAAAACAAGTGAACAAGTATTTTAGACTACCTCCGGCAAGGTTTTGCCAGCCCGCCTGTTTTGAAACACATGCGATGAATATACGATTTAAATATACGGTCAGCTTACATATGTGCGGCGGCATTTGTTTGGTACTGAGCTCAAATACACTATCTATTATGTAGGGTGTTGGTGGTGCTCTTGGTGGTCTTGGGGGTCCCGGTGGTCCGGTCTTGGTGGTCTCCGTGGTCTAGGTGGTCTTGGTCCCGGTGGTCTTGGTGGTGATTGTGGCGGTCTAGGCGGTGTTGGTGGTGCTCTTGGTGGTCTCGGTGGTCTTGGTGGTCCAGGCGGCCCTGGTGGGATTTGGCGGTGTGGCATGCGGACGATGTGCTGACGCATTACGGGCATGATGCGCAGGATGAGCTGATGATGATGTCTTGAAACCCACTCAAGTCATCGTCTTGGAGCTCATGAACTCCACGACGATGAGTTGAGTGGCCTGAAAGGCAAAAAAAGAACTGTAAACGCATGGTTGTCTAGCCCTCAGCATGTTGCTTTCTGGGCAACGCTCCCCCCCGGTTTACGCAACATGTTGCAACATCAAACCATCTCCGCTCCGCCTTTTTCCTTCCAGAAAGAACCTCCGCCAAGGCACCGCTGGCGGGCCTTCCGCACGCCTCTCTTCAGAGCCGACGCACGAAGAGGGGTGGGGCTAGCCATGCTCTCAGTCTCAGTGCTCTGTGAGGAATTCTGGGTGTAGCTGTCCATTACCCTCCCTGAAACAATCTATGGAAGTGGAAAACCAGCGGCTTGTAGAGGAACACAGTCTTGCAAGAGGCTATAGCCCACTTGGAGGGAGGGTCAACAAATAACAATGTATACACGGACCAGAGAAGTGATGAAACAGCTGAAAGAAACCTCCAAACTTGCAAGAAACCAAGGTCTTCAAATCCCAAACCCCATCGCAACCAGGTGTTCATCCCGACAGCTGTGACTTCAGCCAAACCACGACGACTGCGATCGGCCCAATTTTTTTGGAGGCGACCGTTGTGGGTCGGTGTGGGTCGGTCGAACACTGGGTTAGTTCTGAGAATCTCATCCGTCATAGGCTGTTGTAGGCGGTGGGTGAAACCGCGAAACACCGCGAAACACCTAGACAGCTGTCTAGCTGTCTACTCTGAAAAGAAATGGGTCCTGCTCCATTCCGCTGGGTGGCTTCCACCAAACACACATTTCCTCTACACCCAAGAAAAAACTGAAGAAACTCAAGATCTGAAGGCTGCAACAGATTGCAAATGCCTAAACCAGTTTCTTTGATTGACCTTGCGGACCTTGCGTCCTCGACGTCACGCGCACATGATGTCCTGGCCTGGGCTCTTGTTCGGCGAGCTCCAACTCCAGGATCTTGCGAGGATATTCGGCGTCGATGTGTGTGTGTGTGTGCGCTTATCCCACAGGAGTGACCAATCTTCAATAAACCTATCATACATTACCATACCATGTAATTGAGGTCTTTCCAAAACACTGGGATGGGACAAAGAATGTTGACAATCAATTTCAATTTAATGGTATCGGGTGCTCAAACAAAATGCCGACAGGTGGTGGACTTCCTTTGTGCCTTCGAAGTTTGACAATGGATGCCTCAAGTGCATCCAATGGGTTGAACCTACCCCACTCACTCTGGCACTTACTTGCGATCGAAATCCTTGGCAACTCAGTGAAACCGCTTAGGCACCGATTCCACCTGAAATCAAGGAGCAATGCATGGGATAGTCAACACACCCACACACATTGTCCACCCAAGAGGCCCGTGGAGACCGCAATCACGGCCGATAGCAGCACACATTGTTGGGCCAAAAGACCCTACAACATCCAACCACTCTGCGCAACAGAAGGGCCAATTTTCTTCGGTTGGAGGTGCCGGTGATCTTAGGCAGTCTGGCTGTGAATCACAACTCGGAGCCCCAAACCCTGGTAGGTTGGCCTCCCTGGCAGTCACGGTAGTCTATTCGGTTCATTTTCAGTGGTCAGCCAAGGCCCCCCGTTTTGGACCCACAGCCATCTGACATTCAATGCAAGCTCACCCATCCTTTTGACTATCCTGGAGGACAGCCCGTCCCAAGACATGATCCCTCGTCTCTCCTTTGTTCAGTGCTTCCGCAAAGACTTCCTTTCCTAATTGTGATAGCTCAAGCTCTTCATCCAAGAGGATCAAGCCATCAAAAGGGTGCATTCACAATGTTTAACGATAAACACAGGAGCAAAGTACCAGCTCCAGTCCAGCCCTGCATCTGAGTACGGAATGAGACAGCCCGTCTTCCGTCTGAGCATGTGCTGGCACCACCTGGAAGAGACCCACATGGAAGCTGAAAACCACTGGGTCACTGGGTAACAGAGGAGAATAGTCTTCCAAACGTCCATGCCATCAGGTTCCATGTGGGTCTCTTCCCGGGTTTTTTCATGGGATTCTTTCAGTGGCGCTGCCATCACGATGCTCCACTCATGGAGATTTTCAGCTCTAGCGGCGGCCAGACCAGTCTGGTCTTGCGCTTTGGCGGGACAACCGAAGGTCTTTCCCTATGGATTCACATACCGAACCTGGTCGGTCGGTGATTGGAGACTATTTAATGTAGGCACCAGGAGGGTCCAACTTAATTTCCTTCTGAGAAGGTATGTGGATCCGTAGGGTTTATGTTGCGTTCCAAGGTGGCATGTCACAGCCTTCTGGTCGGAACTGTATGGTTGAACACTCTAGATCTCCGCCGTCAAGCTGCTGCTCCGAAAGGGGCTTATAGCAAAAGCTGCGTGTCTAGGCTGAAGCCTCCCTTCCAGTACTGCTCAGGATCTTTGGTGGAAACGATCAATGCCCAGCCAGCAAGCAGCCTTCTATGTGGCATATCGAAAAGTTCGGCTCCCACCAAATCCTTTCAATACATGTCCAAACGCGCAGGTAGCATGGTTCGCAAACGGGTGGACTTACAGCTTTGTCCAGAAGCAGCAAAACACATCAGGCATGGTGTCAAACCTTAGAAATCTCTCAAACTCCATCTCTAACCAGTCGGCAAGGGTAGTCCCTCCCCTGGCTGATGTCAACTCGTTTCTGCTCTGCTCAAGCCAGGAAATCTGCTTGGGATGAGCTGCAAAGGACAATTCTGTTTGAGGTACGTCAGAGAGAGCCACTGTGGTGACAGCTCCACATGGGTGTGCATTTAAATAGGGACACCTCCCAGTTCGACCCCCTGGAAGAAGAGAAATAATAGAAATAGACCAAACCCCATTGGGGCAGGGGGTCTCCATATTAAAATCAACACCCACATCTCTCTTTGACCATCTTGTGGACACTTCGGAAAAAACACACTTTATCGTAGAGCAGAAAATGCTCCTTCAGGAAGGCAGGGCTTGAGAAATATACATTATTCTAAAGAGTTGCCAAAGGCGCGAGGGCTTAAACAGTGTAAACACAGTGAACACATGTCATCTTCACCAGTAGACACCAATTCAAAACCAACCAAAGACAATCACAAAGACATGATTTTAGAACACCATCGAAAGGTTAGGCTCTAGCTTTGATGCCTTCAAAAACAACGACTAAAACATTTAAACAGAAAAAACACGCCCAAGAACGCGGTTCATTTCAACAAACACATCTCCATCGACCTTCTGTCACCGCGGTTAGTAACCGCGGGTGAAAACCCACCGCGCCGCGCGGGGGGGGTGGACCGACTCCCTCCGGACCAAGCGCCGCACGCGGGTCTCCAAGCGAGAGCTTCGGTGCTGACCCTGGGGGTTCAAGGCTCCGCAGAGCACGGCGACATACAGCGACATGGGACATGATGGGACACGGTGGGACATCATGGGGTCTTGGTTTGAAGAGAAACAGACACTGGTCCCAGTCGCTGTATCATACGTAGTATGATACTAGGACCTAAGAGACACCAGTCGTGATACAAATAAATCATACTGCATCATAAGACTAAGAACTAATAAGAGTCACTGATCCCTTTGGGTATTTTTGTGAGTGACATCCAAGTCTGTAGAGGTCCCAAATAAAATAAAACTAGAACATACAAGAAACTTGTCCGTGTCCCAATGCATTTTCCATGAAGCAGGGCGGCTGTTACTTGGGAATAGTCGGGGGTGACTGTAGGGGGGGGAGGATTCCTTTCTTGTCGTTGATCCTGTTGCGAGTCTATATGAGTCTGAACTGATCACAGAAACCTGAGAAGGGGAAGCTTACGAGTTAGCCAGTGGAAGCTTACTTACGTGAGCCGTCAGACTATGGCGCTGGGTGCTCACAGCACCTCTGTGTTCGGCTCCCTTGCACCGACCGCAGTAGCAGTGGCGTTTTTTGGGGGACACCCCAAACGACGAAGCCCCAAAGCTTGATAGAACGTCGTTGGCAGCTCGGACCTGATACGAACCAGTTGACCGGCTGACCCCGACCCCGATGCAAGCGATGCCGACACAGGTTTCGCGGCTTGCATCTTTTGCACCAAGCACGAGCACAAAAAAGGGCCTTCGCCAAAAAAGTAAAAACACCAGGCTCAATGATTGTCGGTACATAGTGTCGCGTCCCCGCAATTCTCACTTCGATTGCATAAACTACTGTAACTTCAGCCCAGCCTGTCGGCTGGCTTTCATAATCATCCCAGATGAACTGGAGCAAACAAAAAGTAGCAGCTCATAATCCTCGATCAGAAATATGGTTGTAAATTGGTTGTGTATAAAGACATCTATTGTACAAGTGCTACTCCAAGCAAGCCGTGCTACCAGGGCACAGAAAGCGGCATGTCTTGTTGTGAAAAGAGGAAGCTCCTTGACCCTGGAATTCAGATCTGGAGCTTTCCTCAACCAATCATCAATCACCCTTTCTCACCATCCCTGTGTTGCTCTCAAGATCTCTCAAGTCTCGAACTCCCCAAGGAATCCGACCCCTCAAAGTGCCTCCTCGTCTTCCTGCCGAGTCCTCCCCCGGCCTGCTCTCGATCGAAGCGGAGCTCCAAAATCTGATGCTCCGCGTCCAGCAGCCTCGCGAGGTCTGCCGCGGTGGTCTTTTTTGGTGGCTCCGTGACGACGCGAAAGAAACAAACACCTGCTGTTCAGTCCTCTGAAAGGGGGTGCACTATGGTGCATTGCCTTCAAAATGAGCCAAAAGGAGTCAAAGTTAGAACACCTCCAAAAGGAAAGGATGTCAACCCACAAATAGATTCATGCTATATATACCCGCACTCACTGCCTTTTTTCCTGCGCTCATACCATGGGGTGAACCGAAACCGGCCTCTCAGCGCTCTGCTGCTCGTTCCGCCGCGAAGCCGTGAGCTCCTCCTCCAGCCTCGGAAGGCGCTGCGGGCGGTGTGAAGGACGAGGACGATGTGATCGGATCCTTGAGGACGACGTGCTGGAAAACCGGCGGCGCGGGCCCTTCGGTGTGGAGAGTCCCCGCGACGGAAAAAACCATGAGAGGCCCAGCGACCGGAGTACTCTGCAGGAAGTCAGAAAAGCTGCGCTGGGCCCAAGAGCGACCTATTCTAGGATTCGAAAGTTGGAGGCAGTTGGAGGCAAAGACTAACCACGGAGGAGACACCGTGGAAGCTACTCTGAGTGGTGACAGTGAGGTGCACCCAAAATCCTCAAAGACCTGCGACTTTAAGGGCGACTGGCTGGTGGACGTCAAGTTGCTTCTATGAAGCATGCTTCCATCTTAGTCATAGTCACTATTAGTCTGCGTCTGGGAAGATTGGGACGAATGCTGAACGTTGGAGGTACGAGTGCCTACACAGCCAACCACATGGACATCCCTCTGCATTTCTCTCAAACGCCACTCCAAGTGTTCAACAAATCCAACCGAAGACACCAAAACGCCGGTGGACTGTTGACCGAACCCACCAAAAAACATCGGTGTTTGGCACCCCAAACATGTTTGGTACCCAACGCAATCAGACATTCCGCAGTCCTGGCGTTGTCAAGGGTCACACAAGGGTCGCTTTCTGAACCCTCAAGTCAGTTTCCGGCACACAAACCCAGTGGCCTTCGCAGTTGCAGGTTCAAGCGCATGTACTCCTGGAGACATGGATGGACCATCATGAGGGGTGTAGCCAGTGTAGCCTCGTCTTAGCAGCGCCATGTCGCCACATAACAACTATCAGAAATCCAGCTGGAGTCAGGCAGGCAGAAGACCCTTGACTGCGCGATCTACATCAACGGAGATCCGAAAGAGCTCACGCCCACTCTCAAGCGAGACGGGCGTGTTTCATGGCCGTGTGGCAAGATGAGGATGCTTCAGTAATTATTCACACCATACCCAGGAATAACCCAGAAGTCTTTGATGAGTGAGCAGCCTAACGCCGACTCAAAGAGGGTCTTTCTCTCACGTGTTTTTCTACGCAAAAATGTACATCACAACAACTGGCGTCAACTGGTATGCACGGCTAGGGTCATAAAACGGACATGTTTGCAGCATCCTCAGCAGTTGAGTGCCAAGAATCCAGATGTGATTTTGTTTTTATTGTTATCCTTTTCCAAGATGTTTGGAGCTGAATGACTACGTGGGTCACATGGCTCGTGAAGGGTCTGTATATAAACCCCCAAGTAGATAGAAGTTCGTAGACCCCCACTAAAAGTGTCTTGGAAGCCGTTTCCAGCTACTTGAGAGAGGAGGGGGTGAACGAAAGGTAGCAGGCAATCACAAGTAACCCTGGTAGAAGTCCATGACGGCGTGAACCGGCGCAGGGGGGATTTGATCCAGGGGGGGGCCCCCCCCCCCCGACGAACAGAATCAACTCTTACAGGACCAAACTCAATGCACAATCCCAACTCCTGATTGTAATACATTTTTGCTAAAGCAAGGAGAACTCAGGTAGCTCAAGCTACCTTTCGTGATTTGGGGATCACTATATATACTCCTCTACAAAACAGGAGGCTTTCCTCTTCCATCTGATTTGAGGCCTGTCAATGTTCACCTGTCAGCTTTCACATGGCACATCTCTGCATTTTTCACTCACCCTCCAGTCACGTCCCAATCTCCTCCTCTCGTTGTGCCCAATCCCCTTCACCTCATTCGGGATTCCACATTCACCGTGATTCACCCACAAGTCCATGAGCATGTATACTTTGCGGTTGCGCAAGTCAAAGGGTTCTCCTCCTACGTTTCTACGAAAGATAAAACACTCAAGGCATGTTCCAGTTGTCGTTTGGCACACGAATTCGCGGGAGGACTTCCTCCACGTCCAAAAGCTCTCACGACAGCCGCCTGGAGGTCGCTGAGGGCCACGCCAGCCGCCGAGCGCGCGCGCTTCAAGTCGAAGATGAGCTCTGAGACGTGACGCTCCTTGTCCTGGGGAGCCCGAGCGGGAGAGCCCGCTCGGCACCGGGGGTGGAGGAAGACCCAAGCAGCGGCTGGAAGTGGTAAACATTAAAGAAACACACTTGAGGCTCTCTCTCTCTCCCTCTCCCCCCCCCCCCCCCCCCCCCCCTCTCTCTCTCTCTCTCTCTCTCCCTCCCTCTCTACTCTATGAATTTAAGACAAAAACTAGACTGTGGGGACCAGCATTGCACCCCAAAAAATTCAGCGGGTTTAGGCAATTGAGGCGTATTTTCACGCCTAAACATAAAAGACATCGTGACATCGTTTGAAATGTTCTTCCCCCTTCCTACCATGTCCACACTCATGGGCTCGGTTCCTTCCTCATCACATGTCATGTGTTCCCCGTTCCTCGTGGTGTTCGGTTTCAGAACACCCGGAGGGAGCGACAGCACCATCGATTCGAGATCAATTCAAATCACCAGGTAGCAACGGACCGCTGTGGGAAGTGTCCCACTTACGCTGTGTGGGTGCAAGATGAAGTGTCCAATGTGAATCTTCTACCCTGAAAAAACATCCTTCAAACAGGACACCAGCATTTCTGACAACAACACGAGCAGCAACACTGTTGCCACCAACCAAAACGACGACACCAGCAGCAACAACAACAACAACAACATCGACAACGGCCCGGAAGGACAACACCAGCGATTGCCTCGGCTTTAAACCAAGCGCCACGATCAATGTCGAAACAAAAAAACGCCATGTGTCAACACCGAGGTTTGCACCTCTAACTCCAGGTTCAACTGTCTTACTCGGCTCTGCTCCTGGGCGAAGCGAACAGTTCGCGTCGCTGGCGACCGGTAGAAACTTCGTCGAAGAGTTCAGCAGTTCGGCTGGACACTGGACTACCCGCCACCCGGCAAATGAGATAGCGATATAGAATGGGAGTGGATTGCAACCGAAAATGAGTACTGTGAACTTCCTGCAAAGGTTAACCTATGCTTTCTACAGTAGCATTTTTTCGGGGGGTATGATATTGACATATATGCACTATGCCGAGGATGTAGGGACCCACAGCCATGTCGGTGGTTGCTCACTTTACGTCAAATGAAAATTGCTCGTTTGGGTGGGTTGAAAACAACAGTAGAACGACGTTTTTCCGTGAAAATGCCAAAGACATTTCCGTGGTCCAACGGGTATTTGGCATGCAAAGACTCATACAAGGAGTACACCCTGGGAAACCACCAAGACAACTCGGCTGTCACAGGTATGGCATTGGCTTTGAAACCAGAAGTGGCTTGGACGTGCTTGGACCGTTGGAGGATCTCGGAGGATTAAACAACGTTCTTTTTCCCTCTGTGTTTGTTCCTTTTACAACCACTGTTGTGTGCTCAACAACGCCAAACACACAACATTCTCCCTTGGAAGTTGCAGGATCACCCGAGAGTGCTGAAGCTTGGCACATTTTGCCACCCCGCTTTCAACATCGAACACATTCATCAACCCACATCCTGGATCCTGGATGGTGTGAACTCACTCTTCGCGACAAGCCGAGTTCGTGGGTCCATGGGTCCTTCTTTGAAACCACCATGTGGGTCCGTGCACAGGCGCACCGACCTCCGAGAATGAGAATAGATGACCAAACATGGTCCACCGACCAGGATTTAGCGCTACCGGTGCCATGCCCCACAGCCATGTCTTAAGACGATTCCCATTCCCCCACGGCCCCACACCTTTTCGATCTGCTGTCGCGCATCGACCTGGAGATCGGCAAGATCAAGCGATCAGGCCGATCACATCATGGGCGAAGATGCTTCGAAAAACCGGAGCCATTTCGACTACTCGTGTTTTTTTGGGTAAGGAAGTGCTCTTAACCAAGCCTCTTAAGCACACATGTGTATCTTGGACTTGCTTAAGGAACCTGGAAACAACGGGGAAAAAAACGATGATTCACCAGAAGGGGATTGGACCATAGGGAAAATACACATCGCCTTAAGCAGAACCAGGGTATATATAATATTACAATGGTGTGAATGGGACGCACTCAAGCTTTATGCCCTGTTGTTCCAACGGTGGACAACGACAGCAACCCGGTTCCCATGCATTGTGACTGATGAACAAATCTTAGACTCTGCCACTAACCTAAATGATGGGTACGTGCCGGAGTTGGCAAAGGGATGGCGCGACAGAACTAAGCTGGCTGTTGCCCTGGTTTTCATAAGCAATGCTGATGGTTGCAGCTCAAATGACTTCAACTTGGTATGTCCGAGACAAAACTGAACACATATGAGACGCAAAGACAAAACTGAGAACATGATGTTCTTCACCATGCTGATGCAATTCCGGCATGGTAGGTCATGTGGGTCGATGTAAATTCCTGGACCGGTTCTGCATGGTTCTGCGCTTCGAGAATGGTCGTGGCGCAGGGTACACCCTATTGGCCCTATTATTGCCAGTATCCGAAAATTCGAAATCACAGCTCAGGATTTTTCCGCGTTACCATCCGCCTGGAGGGGCACAGAACGCGGACTCTATATTCCGCAGTCTGGAAACCCATCTACTCCACCATCCGCGTGCCGAATGACGTCGGAGTCTGGCTTGGCGACCGGGACCCGGGGCCTCCAAACGACGTTTGCAGCTCTCCAGCTCCGCCTCCAAGGTGTAGATCTTGTCCCGAAGCTGCCGGGGTGACCGGGCCCAGTACCGGCCGTGCGGTAGATGTCGGTGAGGGCGGTGAAGGCAGCGCGGTGAAGGCACGTGCTGTAAGGATCCGTCGAGGGCGCGATTTTTCAGGTTGGGTTTTCAGACTGGGGGTGCGCTGGAAGAGGACTTGGGTCGTCTGACCCAGGAGATGCTCCCCATACTGCTAGGAAATAACCCGAATCCTCAGAACCACCTGCCACCCCAATCAGCTTCTCAGGTAGTCGGAGCAGCTACGGGTAGATGACTCAGATAAACCCTGCCTACCGTGAGTCCCTCAGTCCTTCAGCGAGTCGACCCTTCCCGCCTCGCGAGTGCCTTTCACCTCGAGTTTCAGCTCCTGCCCACGGCGAAGGTGAAGGTGACGCCAGTGCTTGATGCCCACGGCGCAGCTTGGGTGACGATTCGTGGGTGCTTGGGTGTTGCTGACCTTGTTCGTTGTGTGTGCTGCTCTTATATAATCTCTTACTTTATTGGCGCTCCAAAGAACACCATCTTCAATCTTGTCAAGGTGACCGGGTCCATACTGGTCCAATTTTTGAGCCACTGCCATAGTCACTTGTCGGTTGGACCACCGTCACCTCATTCCACGGAGCATCCAAAACCTTTGACCAAGGATGTGGCCTACAAGGTCATGGCACCCCCCATCATGACCCTGCTGAAAACCATAGACAAGTCGAGCATTGCACACTCAGCGATCCATGTAAGCAAATATGGCCTTCATTTGGTGGTTTTTGGTGGTGAATGTATATAGGTTATATTTACTTACTACATGGATGGTTTGGAACATGTTCCCCTGCGATGCTTTGAGTGGTCTTAGCCGGGCAGTTCAGCAGGCTTATGATATTCTGTGACTAACAGAACCAGCAGCAGTTCCTGAGCTTGCCTAATTGCAGGTGTCCTGTTGCGACCTATGCCCATTAACGCCCAAGGGATGTCCAGGGGATGTCCAGGCTCAACAACAGTCGCGAATCGCCCCTTACTTAAAACCATCCAAATTTTGGCTCACCATCATTGAACAAGAGCTCCTCCCTGAGTCCAGTGGTCCAAGCTCATTGTTTTACGTCAGCATCGACATTCCCACACCTCTTCCACACTCCGGCCTTCACCAAGGGAGGTGCCTTTTCTCCAGCGGACAAAAGCACATGGAGTGGCCTGTGGCAGTCTCTGATTCGCCATGAAAAGAGTGTGTGGCAAGTGGCAAGTGGTTTTTTTGAATGGTCGAGTGGGTGGAGTTGCCAGTGGCCTGTACGGCTACGCATGTGGCTATAGTGGAGGGTAAATCATGTAAACAAATGTGCCTTCAAAGGGTCCTGGTCAACTGTTGAGATCTGTTGAGTACTCAAACACTCCGAGCGCTGGAGTATCCAGCGCGTGAGCGACAGCTGCGCGGCTTCCCGGCAGCCAAGCCCGGACACCTCGAGAGGTCACGGCGAGATGCCTCGCCTGGGATTCTCCTCGTTCCGAGTCTGCTCCTGAAGACCATCGGAGAGACGCTCCGCCGGCTCGGAGCGTCTCCGTCGTCTCACCCGTTCTGAGTCTTAAGTATGTGTTATATAGGTGGAAAAAAGGGGTCTTGGAAACCTGTTTGACCAATGGTCATTTTTTCTTACCAACCCGAAGGCGTTTCCGCGAAGGATGGCGGAGAGACCCAACAGGTCGGCGTTCACGCAGACTGGGAGGAACTGAGGCGTTGGTCATCACGGTCTGTGATGGTGAGTGGTTGTGGTTTCCAACACAGAACTGATGAGTGGGCGGGACAAAACCCATTTGACACACCATTTTCTGCAACTTAAGCAATGGTGGGTGAGGGTGGTCTTTTGGGCCGTCACAAAAGGAAGACTGACGAAAAGGACGTTTGTTGCATACACCATCATAAATATCCCGAATCATATTCACCACAGTCAGTTGCATTCCTGATTTGAACATCCTGCAAACCATCGCCGACCTGAAATCTGCAGGACATGTTCATCCGGCACCGCGACCCTGACTGACGAATCCTCACGCTGTTGAGTTTGAAGATTGTTCGCACGTGATGTGTAGGTGATTTACCCTCCATCCAACAAACATGGTTACGTGGAACCACTTCCATGATTGTTTCAGGGAGGGTATTTCTGGAATGAAAGGACCCATTCCAGGCTCTACTCGGATCCATTCGACAATAAAAACAACACCACCTTTTCCGTGGACCGTCATGGAACTCTTTGAGTCCATCTTTTCGCACCCCCAAAGCGGAAACGTCGCACAGACCGTCGCAGACCTCAAACCCTTAAATCAGGACGAACAAACGGAAGACTTGTGAACTGATGAAACGATGGTTTCCGACCCATGGGACTGCGCCGCCATATGCCGCCTACATGGACCCCCTCCACCCCTGGCCCGTTTCTCGGCATACCAGTCCCATCGGTCGCGTCTGAGGTTCCAGGAGGTTACCAGGAGGGTACCAGGAGGGTCCAGTGGTACCGAACCTGAGCTTCGGATCAATCCCCACGCGTCGTCGCGAAGCGACGGGATCGGCCTCGCCTCCTGTCGCAGCGACTGCAGCTCTCGCTCCACACGCCGGCGTTCCTGGAGTGGACGGAGTGGACCTACGCTGACTTAGCCCCTCGTCAAGCGACTGCGACCCGTGAAAGATGTTGAAAGAATGAAAGAGATTCCACATGAGATGTTCAGGTTCCCCATGATTCCCCTGTCCCAGATGCTGAAAAAGATGGAGTGGACATCCCAAAAGTTCAGAGACAATAGGGAAGCTCCTGTTGGATTTTGCAATGCACGTGTGTTTATCATGTATTTAGTGGCCTTGGGGAGGGCAAACTTCCGCAAACTTGCGATTTTCTCACTCCCCAAAGTGTGCCAGCACACTGGTCGGAGTGACCGGTGGACACCACGGCGTCGGCGGGAAGAACTGCCGTTTAGGGAGGTGGTTCATCATCTGTCATCTGTCATCCGAAGGCCTCTTGTCAGCCCTGATTCGTTCTTCAGCAGCATTCTCTTCACAGGCATAATTGGCCTTTCTCGGCCAGCTTAAGCCACAAAACCTTGTGATCACTGGCGAACTGGAGGTTTTATTGGCACTGGGCCAACACGTCGCAAACAGCTGAAAAGCGGCGCTCTTAAGCACGACAAGCCACCATGAAAACTGATGCCACCACTGGCGCTTTTCGTCGGCCTTTTTAAAGAAGCACGAGGAGTCGGTAGGTGTGTTAGGATGCGAAAAAGGTGGGTCCAAGAATGTGCCTTTGCCATGTCCACCCTTGCTACGAGGCGTGGGCATCAACGGCGCCTGAAAATCTCTGGGAAGCACGGCGGTGCCCCAATGCTTTTCACATCTTTTCACCAGATCGTTCCTTGCGACTCCCAGCTGCTCGTCTTGAGAGAATTGCTCTGTCTTATCCACGATGGCGAGAAGGAAGGAGTGTAAATTGCTCGAGAAACAGTTCCAACACCTGACGGCATCTAAGATCTGTGGTCCCTGAACAGTTCCATTGTGAATTCCGAACGCTTCAACGTAACAGCAACGCTTTGGGGTCCCGCCGGCGCCGCGGTGGCTCTTTTCCGTGGGTTCGAGTGCGTCTCAGAGACGCGTGCAGTCACCAGCGGCCAAATCCTTGGTTTCTCCTACCAAGTCCTGTTCTGTGCGAGCAGGGCCTTGTCCAGGGATCTTTACTCGTAGGGTCCTGACGAGATATAGCGGCTTGTTCATGGTGCCCGATGGGTTCACGCGCAGCCGCCCAGCCGCCGCCCTCGTCTCCCACGGTCCTCCTCCGATTGAAACAAGGCCGCCCTCAGAGATGCCACTCGGTCGAACGTGGCTTGCCACACGCAGCTAGAACTGGATACCAGCACCACCCATGGCGGTGAATTGGGATGGGAAATGCTTGGTAGTGGGAGTCTAGGGCGGTGCTGGTGGAACCCTGAGATTATTTGGAATTCAGGATACTTGGGGAAGATCCACTCGCATCTCCACGCTGGTCGAAACCAACGGTCAACAGCTTGAGAAAGGACCGTTCCACAACCAATTCGTACGCATGCTCACCCGGCATCGGCTTTTTGGAGTGATGGAGACATTCAGCTGGCTGTGATGGAGCCATACCTGCATGGTTTTGAAATGGATCTAAAGGGGTGACGCAAAAAACCATCTCAAGCAACCCTCTCCAACAAACTCGCTGGGATCAAATGAAGGGCTTCCTTCCCATCTCCAGGTTTCTTTCCAGATGGACCGCCAGTAGCCCGCCCAGGCCTGGCCGCCCGCGTGTCCACTCGGTTCCACGCGTTCAAGGGCACCGGCAAACGGTCTCCAGACAGTCCTGAGGCTCCATGCTGCAGTTGGTCCACCTTCTGCCGATGTCTTGCCTGCGGAGGTCGATCGGTGTCTCGCCTGCGCGCCATTCTTTTCGCCTAACACCGGACGTGGGCCGGACAGGCGCAAGCTGGGTTGTGGACTCAAACAACAAAGTGGTGAGTCTGTCTTTGGTGAAGAGACGTTTAACCGTTAAGAGCGTAAGAAACAAATCACAATGATGGCCCTCCCCCCAAAAAACCAGCCTGCACCACGGGAGTGTGTTCTTTGTTCCAATTTCTTCCTGCACCAAATCACATATACTCGCACATATCGGACTGTTCGTCGCCGAGAGAATGGGCTCGGCATTCGCTCATCGCCGCTTTCCACCACATATAGTAACAATAGTAACATATACCAGGACCCTCCAAGGGCCAATGGAAGCCTAGTGCGGTAGTGTCGGGTAGTCCAGCCAGGACACCCCGATAGGAGGGTCCTGGCCGCAAAGCATCCGTCATCTGGAACTGACTCGCCTCGCCTCCACAGCCCCGTCCAAGCGTCGATCCTGGAATTGCGGCTTCGGTGGAGGGGATGCATCCATGCAAATGGATATGGAAAGGTCATGTACCTGGACCCGACTTCACAGGTTCCTGGTGACAAGTTAGGTGTCCAGAAATCGTGCTATACCTCTCGTAGGAGTCATAGGAGTGCTATTTTAACTGATCAACAGTCTTACACCAAAAGCATCTACACTCCGCATTTTGATACTCCGCCTTTGATGCAAAAACAACATTTATTTAGGGGATTGTTTCAGTTCAAGGCCACTTGGCTTTGGGATGCTTTGAGGAATTTTGGGGCTGTGTATCAACCTTCATTCATGGTTGGATTTTGCAGGACTTTGGCCACGGTCGACTAGCAGGGCAACAGGGCTGTTTCGATCCCGCTGATTTCGACGGCCGGTGGGGTTGCCATGGCTCAGATCCCCATGCTCATTACGTCGTCCTAGAGTGAGCTCGTTCTACAATGCCCCACTACCCACAATGGCTCCTCAATGCCTGTGACACCCTATCCTCTTCCCTCTTCCCTCTTTTCCACGGGTCAGCATTGTCACACATTGCTGCATGTCCTCCTTGTCTTAGCTGCTTGGCTGGTTCTTGGGGCACTGGGCCGTTGTACTGCATTATTATGTTTATGCTGCATAGAATCATGCTCGGCCCCCGCTTTTGAGGATTCTTGGGTGCTCCTGCCAGTGGCCGGACAGATCCCCAAATCAACGCCGTCCACAACCGTCTGCGCCGTGTGAAGCGTCCCAGCCACCGTCCCAGCCGGGCACCAGCCCAGCCCCCGAGTGTCGGGATCGGTCCTGCACCAGCCCAGGTCGATGTTTCGGTAGGGACTCTAAGGCCTGGCCAGTGGAGGCTGAAGAAAAACATCCAGTCCAGGTGGGACGAGTTGAGACGTTTTTCCGCCCAGGATTACTTTTTCCAAACCCGACCCAGTCTAGCCGATGAAGGCTAAAACTTGGCAAAACATCCCGGGACTGAGGGACCAAACGAAGGCCGGACCGACCATGCTGGGCCAGTCCGACTGCTTTTTCCTTCGGCTCGTCTCCCTGCGTCTGGACCGGTCGAATTAAGCCGCACAGCTTTGCTGTGACGGTTCAGGATTCGCTCCCATTGAGGCCCAGAAGCATGGTCGCAATTCCTGGAAGAGCGGAAGGACCATGGTCGAGGCTAGATCGCCCAGGTCGCCCAAACAAACCGTCCGGAACGTCTAGATGTCCGTCTAGACTGTGATGATGTGCGCACTCCCACAATCAGGGGATTGAAGTAGAATGAAGTAGAGTGTCTTGTGAGAAGTTCACCTTGTCCCTTTTGCTTCTCACTTTTGCATCGTGTTGATTCTTCTTGTATGTTATCGTTTTCTGATTTGTTCAGTTCATGTTTGTTTAACATCTTCTTGCGCAGGCGTTCTTATATAGCTGTCTTAGGTGTCCTTGTGCGATCTAGTGCGCATGTATTACTTCTAGCCAGGTTTGGGGAGTGAGTGACATGTCAACATATAGCTTGGACCAGGAACTAGCATCAGGTGTCAAGATTGTCAAGTTTTTGTTTTCTCCAAACAAATAATTTCTGGTTCTGGCCCTGTAAACATGCATGTGATAGCACTTCTGCGTGTGATAGCACCTCCAGGCTACAGTTTGGGTGCACAGAACATGAAATCGAACACTTCTTCTCATTCTTCTTCCCTTTCCCAAATCCTCTTCCGTCCCCAGCTGACCCACCAACCCACCAGCTGCAAATGAGCGAAGATCTTCGAAGAGTCCCAGGCTCCAAACAACGAGGGAGGCGAGTGCGCTTCACGTGTGGAGCCGGGCGCCGGCGACCGAGCCTGGCCAGCGATGGGGGTCGAGGTGTGAACTGAAAGTGACTGAGGTGTCACGAACTGAGGAGCATTGGACAAGGGGGTGCATCGAAATATATCGACATAATCCATTGAACTGGAGGGACATGAACTCAAACCCGGAACTGGAGGTGTTTTCTTTACTAAGAAACACCCACATCTCTGCTATTGTTTGTTTCCGGTGTGAAGTTGGTTTGGAGGGTATCCTGAGTCACCACACGCCAAATCCGTGAACATCTGCTCTGTCGCAAGGAACAAACGAAGAGACTCACTTGTCCAGGCTTGTGGCCGCCCGTTGAAGCTGTTGTTCACGCAGTTCACGGCACGTGCGCCGGTTGGAAAGTCCAATCGGCAATTGGTTGCTTTCGTTTCCGTCAGGAGATGGCCTTTTATGCGCTTGCCCTTGAAATACCTGTACAGACCCGCAAATACACAAAGACCCCTTTGGCACAGGCAAAACAAGTTGAGTGTTTTGCTCGTGCCCTAGAAATGCACACCTTGAGTTCTAACCAGGACAAGGACAGCTTAAGGCATCCCAGTTGCTGCCAGGATCCTTGGCCACCGCTCTGCCTGGTGTTGAAACATTTCTTCCCGAAATGGGTGAACCATCTGTTCAAACCATGGTGTTAAAACGCCACCGCAGCCTCACTGGCAACTCCTTCCGCCCAGTCCAGAGCGTCGAACTCGGAGATGAACTATGGTCCCTCGTGGACCACAGCATGACGGAAAAAGACCACACGACCATGGACCAGTTCGCAATAGGTGTCCACCAACAGCTAGGGTCCCTTCCACTCCACGACTCCACGAATCCACGTCCACCGCGGCGCGGTGCGGTCGTGGTCGGCCTGGCCGCTTCGCGACTCGTCCGGCGAACGGCAAGGGCTTCGCGACTCGTCCGGCAAGGTGGACGGGAAACTCTCCTGAGAGGACGGAGACCACCGAAGCGAACGTGGAGACTGGTCGGTTGAAAGGAGGCGAAGTCCTGTGACGGATGGTTTTGGTCCATTTCGCTTCAAGACTGATATCGTATATAGGAATATGATATGTACAATATCTACGTCAAAGAGGATCCAACTGGGTTGATCCTCTGCTAGACATGGAACAAATACTTCAGACGGGCCTTGCTGTTGTGGCGCGGCAGCAGGGAGATCACCGTGCGTGATTCGCAAGCAACGTGAATACGTACACCCTGGAAGAGACCCACATGGAACCTGAAAACATAGGGGAGGGCTTAAGGGCCCCCCCTGTGAAAGACCCTAGGAATAATTTAAAATTATTCTGACCCCCCTTGAGTTAGTTTTCAAAAATTATTCTGGTAACTGGTTGAGTTCCAGGAATATTTTTTAGCTTTCTCTATATCTTCATATAAAAAACATATCAACACAGCGACTCACACAGCAAGAGCAATCTGACATAATCTGACTCATTCTGATGAACCGTTTTTATCATCAAATCGCCATATTGTGAAAGACTTCGACATGGCTGCAAAATGCTGCCAATCTAAAATCTAAATCTGAACATTGGTTTTCCTATGTTTTCCTTGGTTTTGTACATGGCCAGCGATTGCTAGCTTCTTGTATTCCTTATATATCCTTATATATATATATATTTGTTGTTTCTTGATGTTTCTTGTTTGAGCCTCTCACTCGCGTCCAGCTGCTGACTTCAGATCATCAAACGTCGCAACTTGAGTATTCTTGAAAATTATTCCAGGGGGCCCTATGACTAGCCCTTTGATAAAATATTAATCCACCAAAATTATTCCAAAAAAATTATTCCGCTATCCCACAGGTCCCCTGGAATAATTAAATAAGCCATCCCCTATCTGAAAACCAATGGGTTGTAGAGGAACATCGTGTTCCAAAGGTCCATTTTCAGGTTCCATGTTAATCTTCTCAGGTGTAATTGTTGGCATGTTTTGACCATCCTTCATATGGCTTCACCAAGGCAGTGGAAAGTAAAAAAAACATGAGAGAAAGAAGCTTCCTCGAAGGACACATCAGCGCTTACCGCCAAGAAGGGCAACGTGCACATCACATGTTGGTTTTAGTCCCTTGTTGGCCAAAGGCGCCCATCACCGTATATACGTTGGAGATTGGAGGTCGAGCTTCTGCCATTGGTTTTCTAGCCCTGGTGGTCTAAGACAACAGCAGCAACTGAAGTTCTGGCCCAACAGCTATTGATTGAATGAAGTCATTTCTGCAATTGAGATGGGGAGGGGCCACTACTCTGGCAAATACAGTTCTTTTGACGGACTGTTGGTGGTTCCAGGCAATAGAGACAGCTTCTTCAACAGAACAAGTGTCATTGGACCACCTTCGTCCGCAGGTGACACCACTGCGGTCTCAGGAAATATGCGAAACTGATGAAGAAAACCCGCTGAAGAAACACATCACATGGAAGGGGAAGAAGGACCTTGGGAACAAAACTATAAACTTGTTGATTTTACACGGACAAAGGTGTTGTTTCTCTTCGCTTTGCACTTCGTCACGTTGTTTTTCATCTCACACGTCCAAGGTCCTGGCCAAGACCAAAATACAGGTTGCAAGTGGCAGCCACTGTGGCAGCCCTGCGCAGAAGTTGCCCTTAACATCATATCACTGGAGGCGAAGGACCAAACAGTTCCCTCAAACAGTTCCAAATCACTCTCCCTGGAACTAATATGGTTTCGTGGATGGCACCCCTGTTTGGTATTCGGAAAATGGTCATCCGAACTCAGAGCCATGCCATCCACGTAATCATGTGTAAGTGTATTGTTTCCCATTCTGGTGCCGGGATGTTTTCTGGGGCATGCTTCGGGGTATGCATAGCGTAAGTCGAACATCCTAACTCTACATCAACTGGACACGGTGAAAAAAATACAAACCCACGTCACTTCCAGGGCCCATGACTTCGGCCCCCCTTCCACCAGGCCGGACGGCGTCTGTGTCCAGCACATCGCACCGCGGCTCCAAAGCCAGGGTTGGCAGCTCGGGACCTGCTAGTCGTCGCCGCGTCGAGCAAGCATGGTTGTGCCATGCTACAAAGCTACTCGAAATCAAAACAAATCCAGTGGATGTTCCAGGAAGGAGGTTGCAAGTAAAGCCATCAAATGTTGGTGCCCGCGCATGAAAAAAGAGTTGATTACAGTATATTTAGTACTGTATATGATGCTGTTGTATATACATATTTAGCTAAAAACAAACATATATACAGTGCCTGGGCATATGGAAGCATGATACAACTTCCATGCTAATTCTGGCGCATTGCATGGATGGCCACTGTATTGAGAGGATTGGCCAGATTCGTCCTCTACGCAGGCTTTGCCAGCGAACTCTGATGACCGGATCTAGACATTCCAAGCAGCTGCCCACTGTTCGACACGCAGCTGCATCCTGTTCTTGATGCAGCTGCAACTGCACAGCAAATCTCTTGCAACACGAGTTGCGTGGGTTTGAGTGGCTGTGTGCATTGCACTGTTCATTCTACCGAAGCATCCACTTCTTTCCGGGAACACCACCGAAGCATTCGCCCGCCTTGGCCACCTTGACCCAGGTCAAGTGTCTCCAGGGTGTAGGTCTTCAGGGTTGGCTCAATGTCCTCCACATCACATGCGTGTGCACTAAAACAGGAAGACCTCCCAGTTCGAACCTCCTGGAAGAAGGAACATAGACAAAAACAGATTGGTTGGTCAAAATGCTGAATTTTAGAGACTGTTGGAGGGTCATGTTACATAGACCGAAGGGAGTGCATGTCCATGCCTGTCCATCTCAAGAATTTCCGCACCACATATCAAACAACATGGTCGGCACTTGCCAGGTCTGTAGGTGACACCTTTTCGCTGCCCTCACAAACACTCCTTTCTTAGGATCTGTCGATCTCTGCCAGGTCAGGTTTGGAGGCCAAATCGTATCCTTTTCATTCCTTTTCGCATGGGTCTCATGGCCTCCCCAGCACCATCGACCTGGCCAACCGAGCCAGGCCCGACCGTGGGCAGTCGCCTCGTGCGGTAGCACCACAAGAGTCGGGCCTGAGGGATTCGGACGAACGCAGCGGTGATGCCGGGGGTTTTGGCCACCGAAGTGGGTGATGGTTACGGTGATGGGTCTCCGGATGTCTCCGGTGTGCGAAGTCTATGAGTCTACGAGACCCACCGGATCCAACCGGGACATGTTGTATGGAAACGGACGGAAACGGTACTTTGAGACACACTGATGAGCATAGATGTGGGCCAGCTTAGAAGGATTTCTTGGAGCTGGCCCACACCCTTCAGTTAAGTTCAGCTTGCTGTTCCGGGTTTTGGACGATGTAGAGATCTTATTGTTGATGTGTATGCCGCATGCCGTATGCCTTCAGTACTTCTGCAAACACTTGATGGAGAGGTATGGGATCGTGTGAGGCTGATGTCTCATGCTTGCTTGGAACGCTTCTTCAGCCGATGCTGAATCAACATCCATTCGCCCCAGCTGACGAGAGTCAGAAAGCTACGTCCACGTCCACGTCCGAGGCAGAAAACGGTCTCCATCGGTAGGTATAGACTGGGACTTAGGTCGATCACCTTCTACAGACCACGATTGCCCCTGACGGGAGTCCCCACCGACCCTTGTCCGACGACGTGTTGACATGGCCCATGGCTGATCCAACTGAGAGACGACTCAAGTCTATGAAAGGTGGCCGGGCTGTGGCTGTCACACTCCCTGGAAGCAACATGGAAATGGAACATAGGCCACTCAAAGACAATTGTCCTCTACAAGGGGGTCCTGGTCAGCTTCCATGATTGTTGGAGGGTAGTAACTGGTGCAGTAAGTGATGTTGACCTGGAAGGTGAGTATCCTTACAGAAAGCCTTGCAGGCAGGCTTAGATGACATGGCTGATAATGGCTTGCTGGAAGTGATGTTGACCCGGATGCAGTCTTTGTGAGTTTGAGACTGATTTCAGTATCACAGACATGAATTTCCCCAAATCCAAGTAGGAACAAACCAACACACCTGGTTGACTCGCCCACTCGCTCTCTCTTTTTTACCTGGGACCGGTCTCGCCTTCGCCCTCACTGCGGTTCTCGGACAGGGTCTCTGGCACCTTCGCTTCGGCACGAGGAGTCCGTCCCGTCCCACGTCGAGTGGAACACCCGTCGGCCCGTCGGAACGCACCCGGCCTCCGGGTCCATGCTATCCGCCATCCCCGGGCTCATGTGAGTGAGCCGGGTGGTCAACAAGAGGTTCCTACTTCGCCTTCCTGGGGTATGGTTTGGCCCTTCCTGGCTTCTCAATGGGCGATTCACTCCAGGCGATCACGGGCGACCTGGTTTTAAGCTTCACAACATCCACAAGACATGTCATCCCCCACAGTATGTAACAATCCTCCTCCTCCTCCTCCTCCTCCCCCCCCGTGCCAACATATATAATCTCAACTTCTCAAACCCTCGTGACCCTCTTGCAGTGCAAAGCGAGTCCTCCAATCTCTCAAACAGCAAAACACCATCACTCACTACCAGTACTACCCCACTATTCTCCCCTCAGAACGGCTCAAATTCTAAAGACTTTATTTGCACGCCGGACTTTGCCAAATACCTCCTCGAGGTACGTTGTTTATAGCAACAAAGACATTGGAAAAAAACACATAAAAAAGCACCACACATATTGGAATGGTCTCTTCATGGTCTGCAAGACAAACCCATCTCTGTAAAAACACACACCGCACCGCACCGCACAGTCGACCTTGGGACCCACCGCACCGGCGCTTTCTCCGCTCCGCCTCATCCATCTGCGTCGTGGCCTCGCTCTGCTGCGTCGGAGCCTGGCCGTGGGATCGAAACACGACCAGCGGGAGGGGGTCATCTATAGTATCTATAGGATTCGATTCGACATGGCAATGGTATGGCCGACAGGGGTCCAGCAAAAACGATGGAGTTCACAAATTGTTTGACCATTGGCAACAGCATGCACTACCGTACCTGTGAATCTAGGGGGTTAATCTATCTAAGTCTCTTAGACGGGAGTGAGTGAGTCGAAGATAGGAAGAGCATCCTTGAAAGAGCATCCTATGCTCGATCCTATGCAACCGGGTAGTTGTGTCTCCCACACGTGGCCATTCAGCAGTGCACTGCACTCGATCCTCGACCGTCTCCACTTGAGTTGCTTCTAGCTCCTGGGAGTCGACGCGAGGCCGGAGAAAAACAATGCCTTTGTTGTTTGGTTTCGCGGCATCATCACCACTAGGGACGTCCGAGGGTTTTGACGCTGGACCTGGATCTTCCAACTATACAACATGTCCGCCTTTTGGTTAGCTGTATAGATGAAAAGGCAATATTTTGCACAATTTTGGAAGTATATAAATGAGATTGTATGAGTATACACAAAACCGTCCAGCTTCAAGAATGTCCCAGTGCGCTATGGCCTTATCAAAGCCCTTCATCAAGAGGCAGTGCCGGTCTGTTCCAGAGTGACACTCTCGGCAAATGGCCAGTAGAACAACAAAGTACTGAATGCAATCTCAGGTTCTTCTTCAAGCTCTTTCTGAGCTTCATTTCGCACCTCCACCTCAGCCTGGCCGATCTCCCGGCCGAACGCACCCGCCAAGCATCGAAGATGGCGCGCCGACGTGGGGTGCGGTCCAAACCAACACCGACGCTGGTGATCCGCCAAGCAACCGATCAAAGCCGAAACCGTTTCGCTGGGTCTCTTCCTTGAATCATGTCGCCTTGCTGCAAGGCGATTCTTACCCTTGTTCTGTGAATATGAACGTGTGTGCGACCCTGGGAGAGTTTTTAGGTATTTTATCTATCAACTAATTGGGTTGATTGTTGAGAGAAGACACCGAAACATAGGGGGAGTGGCCCAGTATTCAAAGGAGCTCCTGTTTCCCAAGGAGCCTGTTCTGAACTTGATAGCTTGTTTCTCATTTTTTGAACACAATCCGAAGGGAACAACATCGATTTCTCATTCTGCGACACATTCGATGAGCATTCGAGCTTTTCATTGTATGAATCCCGAGTGTTCATAGGATTGAACTTATTGATTGAACATCGCCAAACACTCTTAAACGATTGGAATTCTGGCCTTATGGTTCATAGACCAAATGTATGCGCAAGGGCACCTTCCTGTTGGCACTTACATTGGCTAGTGAGACCAGTACTCAAGCTCATTCTAGCGAGGGTCCCCGTGGCAGTTCTCGTGGCCATGTGGCCAGTCCATGAACAAAAAAGCCCTTTCTCGCAGCGTCGCACCTGGTGGCCAGTTTCGGATGGCATCTCTTCATCTGCCTGGCAAAAGTGTTTCTACACTCACGAAGCCGGTGTTCAAGATCCTTCTGGTGGATCCAGCCGCTACTGCCGCATGAACATTGATTAGATTAAACCTACCCGGCCCCTTCTATCTGAGAAGCGTGCCATCTAGGCCCTAGGCCGGGATTGTCTTCAGGTTCTTTGCGCTCATGGACACCAAGGAGAGGCCATATCAAGCAGATTCAAAGGGATCTCTTTCTGATTCTTCAAGAAGGCTGAAGGATCCCGAAGGACCTTAAAAGGATTTCAAACGGTTTCTTCTCATAGGCCATCCAGGACATCTGAGATCCCTTTCGCCGGCCCTCGCCATCGGATCCACACGATCGGGCGGATCGGCACCACGACCCACCGGTTCCGAACCAATTCTGGCGGCTGAAAACCAAGACCATCGATTTGACCCAAAACCAAAACCTTTGGTGGGAAACACATGGCGCCAATCAGGATCATGATTGAAAGCCCTTCATGCTAGGTTTCCCGGAAGAATGGAATCCCCAAGCCCTCGGTATGAGTCTGTGGAGGCGCCCATTGTAAGAAATACATCAATTCACGGGCTCGGAGAACCCCCCCACACCATGTGGGATCAACGTTGGAAAGGGCCATCGGCCAGTACGGTACCAGTTTTAGACAGTTTCTCTACGTCTCTACGTTGTCCTACACTTCAATGAAGACCAAGTCATCATCGTTGTCTACTTCGCAATATCCATGCTACGACTGAGCTTTTCTACATTCTGTCTGCCGGTGCATTTCAATGGAAGTTCTGACGTATATGAGGGATTGTTTTTTTACATGACAATATACATCAGGCTATAATAGACTATAATTATCCCTCAAAAAAAAAGTCTAAGTTCTGACCATATCAGGCTATAGTAGACTTGGTCGCCAAACCCCAACATCTCAAGTAGACGACTCCCTCGAGGCCCACCAGGCGGCCCACCAGGTCTTTGCCTCGTAGACCAGCGTGGGGACATCCACATCCGCCTGGCAGCTGACATAGCCCTCAAAGGACAAACACATCTTGTACACCCTTGCGTTGTCGGATTCCTTCCTTCAGCAGGAAGTACTGGTTAAGTGAAATCTCCGCATCAAATCCCGTTCTACTGATTCAGAACATTGGGTCCATGGAGTTTCAATTTCCCCTGCTTGGTGGGACTTCGCCGGTCGACGTCTGATTCGGTAACCAAACGGTCTGATTCGGTAACTATGATTCGATAACTAAAAGCGCTGATTCGATAACTAAAAGCGCTGATT